TTTGTTCCCCTGGTAGGAAAACCTACCAGTAGAACATTATAAACATTTGAGAGTCTGCTGACGGCCTAGAGCCAGGGGGGCCCTTTAATACATCCCAGCATCCTCTGTGGGCACCTTTGGCTGCCAGAGTGCTGAGAGCAGCTGAGTGCATGGGGGAAGCACTGATTGGCTGGCTGTCTCCTCTCTCTCAGATGTGAGGCTTTGAAAGAGGAACCCCAGAGCAATCGTATCAGTTACTGTTTCTGCATGTTGCAATTCACTCCTACCCCTCTAGTAGAAGCCAAGAGCTGCACCAACACCTCCTTGTACTCCTCCTTTCACCAGAGACTTAGATGTTCTGTGCCTGTCTTGAGGTGATCCAGGAGATGCTTATGGTGGCAAACAGCACAGGGCTCCAGGGCATGTACTTCCATATGAGACTGCTTATCAATGCTTGTGGCCATCAAGCCTCATGGATCTGGCCAACAAATTCCATACCTACAGTCTGGGGAACTCCCTTCTTGTCATCACAGAGGCAGAAAAGGATCTTGGAGTCACTATTGATTCCAAGATGAACATGGTTCCGCCAACGTGGGGATGCAGTCAGGAAGGCTAACCGCACCTTGTCATGCATCCACAGATGCATCAGGAGCAGGTCCAAGGAGGTGATCCTCTCCATCTATGTGACATTGGTCAGGCTGCAGTTGGAGTACTGCATCCAGTTCTGGGTGTCGCACTTCAGGAGGGATGTGGGCAGCATCGAGAGGGTCCAGAGGAGGGCTACTCATATGATCAGGGGGCAGCAGGACAGGCCCTACGAGGAGAGGCTATGGGACCTGAACCTGTTCAGCCTCCACAAGAAAAGGCTGAGAGGGGATCTGGTGGCCGTCTGTAAACTTGCCAAGGGGGACCAGCAGGCAGTGGGAGAGTCCCTGTTTCCCCAAGCACTACCGGGAGTAACAAGGAATAATGGCCATAAGTTGACTGAGAGTAGATTCAGGCTAGACGTAAGGAGGCACTACTTCACAGTCAGGGCGGCTAGGATCTCGAACCAATTTCCAAGGGAAGTGGTGCTCACTCCTACCCTGGGTCTTCAAAAGGAGGCTAGACAATCACCTAGCCGGGGTCGTTAGACCCCAGCATTCTTTCCTGCCCATGGCAGGGGGTCGTACTTAATGATCTGCTCAGGTCCCTTCCGACCCTACCAACTATAAAACTATGAAACATGGCCAAGGAAGATGAGACCCTAATGGAGGCCATGAAGTCTGGGGTGGTCTAGGAGCACTTCCAGACTGTTGATTGGTCTGCAAGATGAGCAGTGACTACTGGGAGCAGATCATTCTGGGCACCTGAGATGTTGAGAAATGGCTGCAGAACTTTCACATGTGTTGGGCCACCTTCATTGTCATTGTTGCCTAGCTGGTCTCCTATATCAGGCAGCAGAACACTGGTATAAAGCCACCCCTGACCCCAACAATGCATGTCACCAGCCACCATTTGGAAACTCGCATCTCTCCACAGCCTCCATTCCACTGTCAACCAGTTCAGCATCGGAAAATCCATAGACAAAGCAGCAGTCCAGGAGGTGTGCTTGATCATGCAGGACATGATAATGAACCATGTCATCTGACATAGCAAGTCACAAGAGGGTCATCACTGGATTCTCCCAGATGGGCTTTCCCAGCTGCATCGGGGCCATCAACAGCACGTGTATTCCCATTGTCTGCCTACCTCAAGCCTCCATGGAGTTAGTCAACCATAAGGTCTTCTACTCTGTCCTGCTTCGTGTTGTTGTACAGACCACTGTGGCCACTTCACCCACATTTTCAGTGGCTGACTGGGCAACGTCATGATGCCAGGGTCTTCTTCAACTCCACTGTGCCCTAAATGATGGAGAACAGAGACTATGCCCCTGGCACCCCCAGCATAGAGATATTCTAAATTCTTATCCCACCCCTTATCATTGTGGACCCAACTTACTCGCTCTTACCCTGGCTCATGAAGCCCTACACAGGGCACCTGGACAGCAGAAAAGAACACTTCAACTGCTGCCTCAGCAAGTGCCACGTAACTGTCAAGTGCACCTTTGGCCACCTCAGGGTGCACTGGAGGCGTCTCGGTCAGTGTACACCCAGATATGGCTAAGGAGTATTTGTCATGCTTTATCTTGCATCTTCCACAGCACCTGCAAAGCCAGGGGAGTTAGAGCATGGGACCTCCAAGCTCCCCTCCCCACAAAGTTCCTCCCAGTTTCCATGGAGGCTACTTCTGCATTGGGAACCCCCCAGTTTCCTATTCACTCTTCCCAGTGACCTTGACCCTCCACTATCCCTTCTCCCCCTTTTAATGTAGTTGGACACAAGAGAAAGAGGGACTGTTTTTGAAAATGTTAACATCTATGGATTTTATTAAATCAAGTTATGTTTTGCTACTGGAAAAAAGATAAACAGAGGCACATCTTTTTCCTGCACCATATTCCCTTGCCCAGATGCTTCCCTTGCCCAATATTCCATGAGGCCTGGGTGGAGGAAGCACAGTGCACAGGAGAAAACCACAGTCCACCTTTGCCAGGGCATCAGTGCTTAGGGTACACCAACCAGCATGGAGGACATAAGCTAGCATGTAGATACGTGGAAGTAGGGTGGGAGGGGCTCTGGGGATTGGAAGCCCTAGCTAGCTGAACACCAGCCTCAGACAGGGGGCTGGGTATGAAGTGATTCCTGTTTCAGTTTTCCCATCTTCAGGGTGTATGGAAACATTATTTTTTTTCAGGCATTGCAAGACATCCAGGCTGGTGGAAGCCCTGGCCAGCTCAATACTTGCCTTGGGCACGGGAAGCATCTGGACACAGGGGAATATGGTGTGAGAAAGAGATGTACCTCAGTTTACCTTTCTTCCAGTAGTAAAACATAACTTGGTTTAATGAAATCCATAAATGTTAACATTTTCAAAAACAGTCCCTCTTCTACAAAATTAAAAGGGGGAGAAGGAATAGGGGAGGGTCAAAGTAACTGGGAAGGGTGGATAGGAAACTAGGGGGTTGCCAATGCAGCAGCAGCCTCCGTGGAAACTGGGAGGCAACTTTGCAGGGAGGGGAGCTTGGAGGTCCCATGCCCTAAGTTTCTGGTCTTCATTCTGAATCCAGGGATGTCTTATTATATGTGGTGGACAGGTGGGTGATCCAGGACCCACTGTCCTCAAGAGAGGGCTGTGAGGGTGCAGGAGAAACTAGCTCAACTAATGGGGATGCAGCCTCATCATGGTCCACTGACGAACCCTGATGTCTTCAACCAAGTACTGGTACCCCACCTATGGGGCCTTGTGCCATACTGGGAATGTTTTGTGTCTTGAGTCTGGAGGCTCCTTTCCCTGGTGGTGCTGGTTGTCAGGACTATGGCCACTGGTCCTCTGCAGGGCCTGTTCCCCTGCAGGTCTTGCACATGGTAGGGGGAAGACATTGGAGTCTGGGACTGAACTCTGAGCATTATCCCCATGACATTCTAGTGCACTAGGACAGCAGGCTATAGTCAGGCCCTGGAGCTTGGTGATGCACAAGTTTATATTGCTATCTATTGTTACAGCCATAGTTAGGGGCATTTATGTCATGACAAGAGACATAGACATCTGTTTGTTTGGCCTTTGTGCCACCATAAAAATGTTCATGGTGATACAAAAGCAACGTCTGCTTCCAGCCTTAAGGTGTCACAGAACTTTGATTGAAAATAAGAAGCCATGCTGCCAAGTTTTATTCAGATCCATGAGTGAATAGAGAGTAGCTGACTCACCTGAGGTTATAAAGGGCCTCACAGTGGATTTTACTAATATTTAAGCTCATGATAAGGCTACTTTATACTGCCAGAAAAATGTAAATAGTTGAAAATTGATCCCAGACATTTTTTACTCCACTACACTGTCCTAATAGTTCCACAGCTGGATTCATGGAGCCTCCACACTTGTTTTATACTCCTTGTATAGCACAAAGTGAACTCAAAATAGCCAAGGATTGTCCTGGTAGTATTCCTTTGTCGAGGAGGAACTTTTTCCAGTTTAAGATTGGCAGCAGACTCTCCATTTGGTTCACATGGAAAGGCAGGGGTCTGAAAAGAACTGTTGATGAGAAGGACTGCCAGCCCTCCACCGGCATAAGATCCATGAGAGACATTACATCAGTAGCAAAAGCTTGCCCTTGTATCTTTAACTTATGCTGATGTCATGCAGCTGAGAATCAGAGATCTGTATCCTGCTTATTGTCAATCCCCCTTTCTCTTTGCTCTGAGTAAAACAGAAGGAAACCAATATGCTGGCATTTTATTTAGATTTTGTTAAATTCTCTCATTCATTTTTCTACATTGCAGAGTAAGTACAACTAAAGCTTTTATTCTTTTTAGTGGAATACATTATTTCTTGCACTAGAGTTTATTTTGGAAAAAACAATGACCGACTTGAAACTAGTAAAGCTAATTCCCTTGAGCTATTTCTTTTTCCCAGTCCTTGAAGAAGAAATAGCTCCCAGGGAGAAACTCTGAATATTTCCAGGCCAATTATTCTTTCAAAATAAGCTTTCCCTTAGTATACCCTGAAAGACTGCTGAAGCTGCAACATGTAATGCTATATATACTTTTACTAACCTGATCACACACATGCTGCTTCTGTGGAGAGCAACCTGCTGAGTTTGATTTGTTTGTCTTTACTGATAAAACACCCAATATACTATTGATCTAGTTTGGTAGAGGTGAGCCCCTAATTTTCCATAGAATGGAAGTAGGCTGTCAAGGACTAAAGTCACTAAAGCAGTGAAAAATACACTTAGAATAGTTGGGTCAAGTGGAGAATGCAGAACTTCTGAAAGAAGTGACTTGGTCACTTCTGTTTATCTGATCTGTTTGGCTTCCTAACAATCTATCAGTTTACACAACAGGTAAAAATTGTTTATATTCCTATTATTGATAGTTGGGTATAATTCCCCATTAATAATTAGTATCTTTTTATTTGGTTTTTGGGTTTTTTTAAACTTTTTCCAGAGTGTGAACCCATACCTGCAAGGACAGAGACTGGACAATGTTGTCGCAAAGAAATCCGTTCCTCATTTTTCAGATGAAGACAAAGGCACTGAATAAGAACTGCAAAGATGAACGATGAAAACTCAGGCCATTCCTTGTGAGATCGTAATATTGCTTATATATAACCAGCTATTGAAATTATTGTGATTGGCAGCATGTTTATTATTTATATAATTGTGGATGAGAAACAGCTGTATTTATAACATTATGTTTTCCTAAATAATGAAAATATGGTTCTGTTTTCTGTTAAATTATGATAATAGGCCTGTTTTGTTGTTTTCATTTTAGTCATGGAGTAAGCTTTAAAAATATTAGTCATGTTAAGAGCTAACGTGAAGTAAATGGCTTCAATGAGCAATTTGTATAAATGAAGGCAAGCAAAAATATTACTCAGTTGAGCCCAGTGTTTAATCTTAATATTTGCAACATTCAAAACACAGAAGTTAGAGTTTTGTGTTTTGTTCACAAATACAGTTACTTAGCAAAAACAAACTATTAATTTACTCAGAGACTTTTGGCTTTTAGTCTATTTTAATAAACATTCAAGCAATCTAGAGCATTTGCTGAGTGACATTTTCTAAAATATAAAATAGGATAATCTGGTTCAGTTATTGTCAGGCTAAACAAAAATTAAAACAGTATGCTTTGATAATATATTCAGTGCAATATTTTTCTCAATTGTTTCTTATCATTTCATTCTCTCACTGTTTCCAGATGTTTTCACCCACCTTAGCTGGCTGCTAATATTTCTCTAGTCTACAAACTGGCATCCAACTCTCTCTGGCTTAGTGTCGGCAGCATTTAGCCATTAAAACAGAGCTGTCTAACTTCCAGGCAGCTGGGGGCTGCACTCCAGAGAGGAGCCACAGACCCAGGGACCATATGCTGTCTGTACTGGTGGGCTGGGACTCCCCTGGCTCCTTTCCCCCACTCTGAGGCCTGTCCAGGTCCCCATCATAGCCTCATGGGCAGCCTCTCCTCCTCTGCAGGCAGCTCAGCTCAGCTCAGCTCAGCTCAGCTCCCCCTGCCACACACATAGCACCTGCCCCCACGCTCTCAGCTGTATGAACCATCCTCCTGCAGTGTGGGCAACTTGGCTTTGCCATGCAGCTCAGGCACTCCAGCCCTTTCCTGGCAGCCATGGAAGGATCTGCTGGCAGGAGGAGTAGTGGCCTGGTGGGAACCCATGAGCCACATACTAGCCTTTCAGGGGTCACGTGTGGCCAACCAGTTGAACAACCCTGCATTAAAAAGTGTCTGAATTAGTCATGCTCCCATGAAATGTCTCAGCTGAGCAAGATGATATTTGCCTTTGATAGAAAATATTACCTATTGAGACTCCACTAAGCCTAAATTCCTGGGTGTAGAATCTTATCATTAAAAATCAGAATGAGCAGCAGCCATATCTGCAGCACAGTGTCAGGCTTAGTCATCAGAATAAAGCGACACAGAAAGCTGCTCTCAAGGTTAAAAATTTGGATGGTAGTTGGTTGTGGGTTTTTTGACTATCCAAATTAGGCTAGAGGCAAGTAGGATTCTTACTACTCAGTAAACCTTGCTCTGGGCCTCCAACTCTACTCATTTTCTGGTGATGCTCAATATAGTTTGTGGCAGATAAACCCTTGGTTAGGCTACATAAATTAACTTGCTTTGCCACCAAAAGAAAAGGTGTACTACTCTATGTGCATTTAACACTCCTGAACAGAAGTAGAGCATACTTTCTTTCCCCATCAAGCAGCAGTACTCTGTCACTGCTCTTGAAATAGCAATTGGGCAACTCAGAAGGCCGTTCCTTTCTGAAGGACTAGAGGAGGGCACTGTTCCTTACCTTAGGCAGCAAATTGAGAGGTAGGATTGGGTCTACAGATCAAATTCTATTATTTTTACAAGTTGTCTGGCAAGCGGGCTGCGTGCAAAATGACCCAAGGATCATGGAAAATAGTTACCTTATCTTATGAACTTCAGTTCTGTGATGCAACAAACTTCACACCCCCAATAAAAAAAATCAATCAAGATGATGTACTAAAATACGGACAAGACTGACAAGCTGAATTTTCACTTGAGGTTAGATACAAGTAATTCACACCATACCAATAAGTGGACTGATCTGTGTTTGGAATTAGTTTTCAGGGCAGAACTGAACAAACAATCCATAATAAATTATTTGGTGAGCTATGCCTCACAAATACTTTGAGAGAAGATTGCAAAACTCTAGAATCGAATGTAGTCTAAATTATTTATGAGCTGCTTCATACTTTATTTTCTTATAACAAATATTTTAACTGATATTTTGAATTGTAGGGGATATAATGTAGAGTGAGATTTATAAGTGGATATTGCAATTAATTGAACATTTAAGTACCTATTATTTCCTGTACCTACTAACTTCATTGGAAGATAAGGATACTCAGCAGTCCACAGTATCAAAGTTTCGTCTATTTATGAAGCTTACTTAACGTATTTTTCATGCTTATTCTCTGTTCAGGTTTTGAGATTGCAGAAATGATTCATAGCCATAGGATGACTCTATAGAGTAGAAAACACGGGTTATATGTCATGCTAACCATTCAGAAGCAGAACTCTCCATTGATTTTAATGGCTCAAAGTAGGCAAAACATCCATTGCCTTCTGCATATCCATTGAAGCTGCAGCTGTGGCTAGAAACATTCTAGTTAGAGAAGGGTTTTCCACACCCATAGACCTGTAAGAATCTCTAGATTTCTCTAGACAACCCAGTGCCTTCTCCACTGGTAGAAAAAATGGTTTTATAAGCTCTAGCTAGTTTACTATATAAAAGTTCATTTTAATGAATACCAGATAAAGTAATCAATTGGTAAAGTGACTCATGCTTTTTTAAAACTCTTCCCCCCTTTATAAGCTGTTTCATGTATTTGTGTTTGGTACATACATGGCTTATAAAGGGAGGGGCAAGGTGTGGTTTGTTTAATAACATCAAAAATCTCATATCTGATTCCTTTAAGCATTGCAGTTCTCAGTCACTTTATCCCACCTTACACAGTGATGTGATAATTAGGCACCACAGACTGACTAGATTACTGTAGAGATCCTTCCTGATAACTGTTTATGACTGCTGCAGAGTCTGGGAAGCTGAAATTCTCTCTCATAGAACTGTGTGAAGAAGGCAAAACAAGTTCTAGAGTTTCAAGATTTTTTTCACATTGTCACATTATGTTAAACCTCCCTTAAAGGAATTGCCTGCTAAATGAAATCAAATTCCTGGCAATCAGCAGCAATCTGCTGATTCCATTAAGCAGGTTTAACTTGCCAGGGAAACCCCAAGCTGAGAAACTTTCACGTCTGGTCTTTATAATCTTGATAATTAAATGAACAGTTCTATTAAAATTAATACATATACAAAATTAACAATTCTATCTATGAATTCTGTCTAATAAGTTTTATGTTTGAGCTGCCTTTCTGAAATGGACTAGAACAGGGAGTCCCCTTTTCTACTCAAAAGAGAACAATGGGATTTTAGTTATGTTTAATGACCTTTCCTAAAACACATCATATTGCTGATCTCTCAGTCAATCAGGACCCAACAAATATCAAATGCCCTTTTTCAGTAAAGTGTGCATGTTGCTCATTCACAATATGTTTATATGGAGTATATAACAATAATAAATTAATTTTAGCTCTATTTTGAATTGTGAAATGCCTGACTTTCCTTTAAAAAATCTGGATAATTAAGGAAGATACTCCAGTAAGAGAGCTGATATCAAAAATGATATGCTTTCAACTTTCACATGTGCAGTATTGCCAATCCCACCGTGTCAAAAATCATGAAACAAACTCTTAAACATCAAAAGATTTGGAACATAAATCATGAGATGCTATTTTTAAAGTGTGTGTTGGGGGTGTTATTTGTGAAGGTGTGGTGGGCTGCGGGTGTGTGTGGGTTGAGTTTGGAGCCTGGGTAGGGAGCATCCCACACACCCTGGCAGGATGCGGGATACTGTGGGTCAGGAGTAAGGGGCAGCAACCGGGATACTGTGGGTCAGGAGTAAGGGGCAGCAACAGGGCTTGGGGGACTGTGGCTCAGAAGTGAGGGGCAGGTGTACACACACACACACACACACACACACACACACACACCCCTGCCCACAACTCTGTTGCATGACTTGCTCTGGCCCCGGGGCCCCATTAACCCCAGCCCCTGCTGCCTTCCCTCACTCCCTGTGGGGGCCTTGATCTGTGCCCCTCACCCCTTCCTTCTCCCCCTGCCCCTTTCCCTCCACAGATTTACTGGTATGGCCCTGTCTACACACTCCAGAAGAAAAAATCCCGAGATTTGATCTCTCTATCAGGAGATCATGAGTCAGAGTTAATTGGACTTGGAAATCAGGGGTCTTGTGATTTTTTTCATGAGAGTTGACATTACTGCAAATGTAGTAGTCCTAAGTTAGAGCAGTAATGAGATTTTAAATTTAAATGCCTTAGGTTGTTATGGTTGTGTAGTAGTTTAACTCTTTAGAATGAAACATTTCATATTGTTAAGTATTTTAAAAACTGCAAGTGTCTTAATAAACTCCAAAGGATTTTGAGATAGAGTTTGTACAAAATAAGCTATAAAAAATAAAGTATATTGTATTGCAATGACATTATGTATTTATGTACATACTATAGCATTTAAAGTATTATTGGGTGCATCTACACATTGCCCTATGCTGATATTGTTACTGCACCAGGCTTTAGTACTTCTGCGTGGAAATACTAAAGCATGGTCCAGTAACCGCCCGTACTGCGCCGTATGTGCAGCACATGGTTATTTTTAGCAGTTACTTCACCATAGCAGTGAGCTATAATGGTGAAGTAGCTGCTGGACATGTGTAGACATCCATGGACGCTATGTTGCCATAGTGCATCACTACAGTGATGTAGCATCATGTGTAGACATGCCCATTAAGTAGCTGAAAGCATTTGATTTGTAACACAGAATTTGCTGTGTGTACTTACGTATTTGTGCATGTATGTGTACACAAGAGTATAAAATACACTATATTTTGATATTAGTCAAATCAGTAATATAAAATATAAGGATGCTAATCCACAAAGTAATCTTAGTAGTGTAAGAATGATCGAGAAAATAAGAAACACTGATGTGCTTTATTTCTGTTGACACATATGTATATAAATGTTTAGCAGTATATATTATTTCTATTGGCACATTAATATTCAGCTAAACAAAGTATTTTTGACATTTTACAGTGCCTATAAATTTTCTTTAAGAAAGCTGCAGAACTATTTCCTGAAAGTGGAAGAGAACATCCTGTAGGGTTGTAAGCAGAGCTGGTTTGAATAGTTTTGCCAAATGCACTAAGACAGCTCATTGTCTATTTCTCCATTTGTAGGGAGGAAGGGCAGAAAAAAGATAGACAGACTGAATGGCGAGGGTTTTACTTTCACTTATGTGAGTTATGAGACAGCCAGGTACATGTACCTACCTGTTTTGCCTGATTTGGGATTACCATATTTACTTGTATAGATGGCCCTGATATAAGATAACCCCCCATTATATTTTATATATGGAAAATTTACCAATTTGTATAATTTTCTAGGTATAGTACCTACCTATTGGAGATTTGCCTTGAATTTGTCCCCTTCCCACTGCTACGGCAGAGGAAATAAATCTGGGGGGGTCAAGGTAGCCCCTTTGCTCTCTGCTCCCCGCCTCCAACTTTTTCTTCCAGTAGTCCCTTTCCCCTCTCCTCCCTGAAAGTGAGGAGCAAATTTGAAAATAATGGCCTTTGACATTGAACACGGCTGTAGCAATTTGCATTCAGTACCCATGCACTTAGCACATCCAGAATTGATGCACGTTATCTTTCTTTGAAACTGATGTCTGTTTTAGGACAGGTACTCCATAAACACACTTTTGAGTAGCACTTTGGCATCTACTTACCATGGAGAGTTCTGCTTCTGAAGCTGGACCAGCTTGCTTTGTGTCTCAACTGCTCAGTATTGGTGTGTACTCCAGATACCCCCACAAAGGAACCATATACTAATTAGCCCTCACTCATAACTGGAACCAGGTGCTGTTTTCAGAAGTCCTGGGATACTCCAAAAATTTATATGCAGATGAGGCCCAGGGCAACCTGGTCCAGCTTTACCTTACGGAGGCTGGGGCCACATTAATCATATGTGAGAGGCTAAGGGGGGAGGTGACAGAGAGAGTCACAGTAAATGCAGATGAGAAAGTCACCACAATCAAAAGAAACATACTATATAAAATGCTATAGGGCAAATACATCTAAGCCTGTGGCGGTGGCAGAAGATGTTACTCAGAAGTTTCAAACTACCCAAATAGCCATTCTGTTAAATAGGGCAATGCAGCCAGGTTTAAAATTCTCTTTGTTTCAGCTTCCTTTTCTACTCACCCTGTCGGGTGACACTGGTTGCCAGTAAATCAGAGGACAACATTTGTAATCATCTAAGATCTCATCCCAGTGCTTCTGGCCAATTGAGTCAGAGAATTTCTGTCTTTGAAATTAGATACCGTATGGTCTATACAAATTGGAAAGGAAGGAAAAGCCTTAAAGTGGAACTTAAACACTTTGGAATATACCCCACACAAGACACCACATCCCACCCAGGGTGTGTGCGCACTTAGAAATGACAAGACAGTTTTGAACAAAATAAAGAAAAATTTGTTTTTCTTTTTCTTATCTAGCAAAAGAACTATAATCAGGTTTCCATACTTTGTCTAGTATGACCAGCCACATCAGAAACACACAGTATAAATGCAAGGAAATGATCTTGTGCTTCATCTTCTATATGCACTTATTTTGAGCTTTAAGTAGATGAAAAATACATATGTATACTCATGCATTTTATTCATGTTTTGGGATCTTAAACTGTCTTTTTAAAATCAAATATCTATTTTTCCCCTTTCAGTATGTGAGGAATCCCTTAAACACAAAGCCACAAATCCTTAGATGGCATAAACCTTAGCTGGTATAAATTGTGATAGCTCCATTGAAGTTAGTGACAACAGCAGTAATTTAATTTGGTTGTGGATCTGCCCACTCCACCTGCCTCCCTTAGAAGGGACAGGAAAAAGTTTCATTTTACTTATTAGGAATGAATGGCTACTTCCTGCTCTTTTCACTGTCATTTAGGCATGAACATGTCCATAGCCCTCAAGAATGAAGTAAATGGATGACTGCCAGGGTCAGAGAGAGAGGAAAGAACACAGAAGGTGACAGTCTCTCCTCTTTCCTCTTAAACCATTAATGATAAACTACTGAAAGGCAAATGTTAAAAGAGAAATGTACTGCAACAGAAGGTAGGGTTTGGAGTTTCTACAATTGAGGGCCCTATCCACTGCA